TATTTGAGTTTTTTTTTTAAATCTGAAATTCAACAAAAACTTCAGGTCATTTAAGCCAATTTCATTGTTCATCAAGTACCTCTGTACAGCTGATCTGACAGAATACCAAGTTTGAATATGTCACTTTGGGGTCTAGGAAACTGTGGCATATGTATTTACATTTTATGGACTAAATGATTGATCAGTTCAATGACAAAAAACGAAAGATTCAATGAAATAATGTAGACTCCAGCCCCCCCGAGACCCTAGTGAGGATTAAGCGGTGTATAGATAATGGATGGATGGATGAAATAATGAATTTGCAACTCTAAAAATACCTGGAACCTGAAATTCTGCTTAAAATCTGATGTAGTTACACCAAGTCTGATGAAAAGATCCATATTTTCATTGTTACTTAAAATGTCTTTGCTGCTGACTAGTTGATCAGCTAGTCTACATAATGTCCAACGGAAAATATTCACAACTTCAACGTCTTTAAAGTGCTTGGTATTTTTGTTAAATAGATGGCTTCAGTCGTTAGTCCGTAATTCCAGCTGTTGGTGAAAGAGTTGGTCAATTCGTCATAACCACAGTTTTATGTTGCTTTGTTACTCATCAATTTGTACGTTCATAGATTTTTTTTCTTCTTAATTAAGATTCATAAGGGGTATATACAAAAACGTACCAAACTAAGCCCCGCAGGTCTTTCTTTGTGTGTGTGGACCTTCACAGATTTAATTATTTGGTCAACGGCATTTCAGCAGGACAAGCCAAAAGAAACACCCCCTCCAGACTTACTGAAACTTCTCCGCCAGCCTCTGCCGGACGGTGGTGGTGGCGTTTTCTTTGCGGTTGAAAAAATGCGTCTTGATGAAAGCTTCATCGTAGACTGGACGCTCTATCCTGTACATGAGCGGTGAGTCCGCATCCTCTCGCGCTGATGCTTCTTCCTGCTCCATAGCAGAGGCAGGAGGGCTGATTGTGTTGAGTCGTGGGGTCACAGTGGATATCCCCTGTGTGGTTTATCTCTCCCGCTTCTTCTTCTCTGTCATTATCCTGACTGGTATGTCTTCATTCCTCAAGCTGCTCCAACGACGGCCTGTCTCAGCTGTATTGTTCTATTCTGAGGGCAGGAGAAGACAAGATGGATATAATTACAACAAGCAGTGGCAACGGCAGCCAACCAGACCTGTGTGCTCACTCGCAAAGTTATCTTATATCTGATTTTCAGCAAACATTTGGCAAGCTTGTGCAAACACATGGGTTGCGTTATACGAGCTACGAGCAGTGAGCTACTGCTGGAATAAAGTTTGCTACTCAAAGGCACATGACATAAAGGTTCCTCCGGCTATGTCAGAGCATGACATTTCACAGAAAACTACTGGGGAACGTTCTCAGTCAAAAATCCTGCAACCACATTCCACCGTGTTTCGACATCTGTGGAATCAAAGCCATACATGTGTAATTACATTTTTAAGAGGAAATATTTACGTTGTCTTGCTTTTAATCAGTAACAGAGGACAGTTTGTGGTTGGAGTTCAGTGCAAGGTGTTGCCTGGACTATCAAGATAAAAACTGGACACCAACAAAGAAGACAACTTGAATGGAGAGGAAATCATTGTAATAGTTTTATTTATTGTGTTGTGACTGTGTGTGTGTGATTCCTAATTAACTAACACTGACCGTATCTCCAGCTTTGCGGTTCTCTAGCATATAATTTCTGTATCCATTTGAAATAGCAATAATATAAATGGATATGCAAGTATGTGAAGTTTTTATATTCTATATTTTGTAGGTCATTTCCATGTCAAAATGGTCTCCAATGCTTTCATAAGCTCACAGCTGGACGACTATAAATCCCTCTCAATGCTGTCTTGACTACATCTAGTTCCCAATGCAGCTGCCACAGACAAAACATCACTCCGATTGTGGCTCATTTGCTGTAGTTAGAAGGGAAATCTAGAGCTGAACTTAAAATTGTACCATTTGTTTATAAAGCTCTGGTTTAGCTTCACTTCCTGCCTCTCGGTCAGTTCACTAATCATCACATTTACTCTTCTCAGTCGCCCGTTTCTGCCACATCCTGCTAGTTTTTGTTGATCTGTTGATTGATTGTAGTTGGTTTTCTCTGCTGTTTGCTTTCATAGTTGAATCTCTCTTTTAATCTAGCAATGCTTTACTTTGACAACCCGGTTCATAGGGGTTTTCTTAACGTGTTTGTACTTGAGTCTTCTGTGATTCTTGTCACTTTCACCATGCATTTTTGCATGTTGTTAACTTTCTGTCTTCAGAGATTTAAGATTTTAGAAGGACGTGTTACCATCATCAAACACCAAATGAGGGA